GATAGGGGCAGTTGTGAGTGGCTGCATTGTGCGTGTACCATTCCTCTTTTGGACTCATCTAGCATACACAAAGGATCTTGGCTCAAGATGTATGTACATTTCTGTGACCAGTAACACACAATAACATGAGATGTAGTGGGTGGCACACTGACTGAGATGTCATGAGTCATGATTGCTTACACACTCGAATCACTCAAGTCGCGCCTGAAAGCGGCACTCGGCTCGGGGCACTCGGAGCTGTGCTTGTTTTGGATTCAGTGTGTGGATGTGTTGTGGATCTAGAATTCAAACATGAATCTAAATGAATCGATTTAATTCTATTTACACATCCGTGCAGAGTTTGGAGCAAGAGGTGGCTTCAACTGACTTGTTTGTGCTCATTTAGGTTCCGAAATGCCCACGAAGTCTGGACACCATCAGCAGTGACTATGTCTCAACAGGTTCACAGCGCTTTTAATTTGCTTTATGCATCTGACCGAATTACTACTGCCTACTGTTTTACAACTGCCTACTTTCTAGGGCTCCAAAGCTGAGATCTGTCTAGATTGCTTCAAATCCAGTTACGCGCAAGTCGACTTGAACATCAAGCTGCCCTGCACAATCAACCAAAAAGAATGTAGCCAAACAAATACCGCGCACCATAGTACAGCCAATAGTGTGTCGCTTTCCCGCTGCACACTGAAGTGAACGAAACAGCGTCGGTTCCATTTCGAAGGCACGAGCAGAGGTTTCAAGTCTTGGCCGTTGGCAGCGTCTGACCAAAACAGCGGTCATCGTTTGGCGGTCGTGAACATATTTCGGTTTGGTATGCCATTTCACGAGATTATCAATTTTCAGTCGCGCCCTTCCGGCCATGCAGCGATGCGTAAAGGACAAAGCTGAGTGCCGTCAAAACTCTTTGTTTGACCTCCCACCACATACATTTGGGTGGCCCACCGCTTCATACTTTTGGACAACTTTAGACTTCAGCTTGGAGGGGAGGCTTTGCTTTCTTTTGGTTGGTAAGGTCTACACTTTTGCAAATTGAGATTGAAGGCGGGTCTTCTATTGTGCTCTTCATACACCTTCATGCTGTGGTTTGACATGTGTTTCAATGTCTGGAGAAAAGAAAACTGGGCTGTGGCGGAGACCGGCTTGGTTTTGGTGGAGACTACTGAACTTGGCTGAACTGATCACAGAAGCTGAGAAGGAAGGGAAATCAGGAGACAAAGGTAACGGAAGGATCGATAAATAAAGCAGTTTCTCTACAAGTCTTGCCAAAAGAGCAGCCAAAGCACATTCTGGAAGACACATTGCTGGGTCACTTGTGGACGAAAATCTGTTTTGATGACAGTGTGTCAATCCAGCTTCTGGCTCGATGACGGTATTGGCGAGCATGACAATCACTTCCAGCACGGCCTGTTTGTGCTTCAGACTGCAAACGCTGGAAACTTGATCTGCTTAATTTTGCTTCCATCTTTCCCGACTTTGCGTAGGGGAGGCGTCACTTTCACGTCCACTACAGAATGAATTAGTGCACAGAGGCGCGGCACATATGTTCAACTGTCTATGGAGCCACTGAAGTTGTAGAATCTACTATTTGTTTACATTTTCTTTCAAACATAATTATGTTTGTTTCACTTGTTTTGACATTGTTGCTACAGAACTGTTTGAAACCGGTTTGCACAGGAGCGTGCTGAGTCCTGTCTGGCTTGAGACTCAAGTAAGAATCGCCAAACGAAAACAGCTTCTTATCAAGGGGATACCGGAATGCCATGCGTCTTTACATAGACTTGTACAAATATATGTATATATATGTATCTTTATATACACAGTATGTATATATATATACACACGATATACATTGTTCTATATACACACACACTATATAAAGGTTCAGTTTTTGCTGCAAACTAGCTGGCATGATTGAATATTATCTGAAAAGAGAACTTTGAAAAGGCTCTGAAGCTTCAGAAGGGAACAGCGAGAACCAAGATCGTAAACGTCCAACCGGATTGGCTTTATACAGGGCGCAAAGATTTTGCAGTAACCAAGATCGTAAACGTCCAACCGGATTGGCTTTATACAGGGCGCAAAGATTTTGCAGTGACTCCAGCTAGACCATTGACATGCGGGACAAAGCGCTTTTTGAACACTCCTGTGATCGGCAGCAAAAGGCAGCAAATCCAATGTACATCGACCCTGTCTGTGCAGGGCAACTCAAAGCCCGAACGGCTTTTTGCGCTCCAAAGCTTTCATTCTATCCCTTCACAGCGACAATGCACCAAGAAACCCATGTTAAACACACAACAAAAACACCATTAAAAAACTGAAAAAGTTACCTCTCCTGCATGCTGTCCTATCTTGAGTCATGTTTTCTTTCAAGTTGTCAACTTTGAAAACGTTTTTCCATGTCATTCCCTACTTGCAAGTTTTTGATTCCTGCCGACCCTACGTCTGTCTGACTTTCGGGCGCCATTCCGGCTTGCATTCTGTCTCCCTTTGGCAGGTTCAGAGTCTTCAATGCGCTTCCATTCCTTGACTGCAGCATGTTGAAGCATGCACTGTATTCAGTGCGATGAAAACACGAATACGAGTCAATACGAGATATGAAAAACATTGAAAAACTATGAACGGTCTCAATTTCATCAGAAGCTTCAAACTCAGGAGTGTCCTTGCCTACAACATACCAGCGTGCACAATGTGGGTTGCTTCGTACTTCTTCTGGATCTAGGCAGAACTTGCGTTGGAGTCCCCACCAAAGAAGGCACGTGTCATACTCATAGCAAATGGAGAATGTTCTTTGGCTCATTCTATCTCTGTCTCTCCCACTGTCCCTTGTGCAGCAACCAGTGACATCATCATCACTGGGTTCCTCGAAGCTCATCTGGTAAGTTTCTCCTTTGGGACCACGCCACTGGCCTTCTAGCAGACCTGAAACCCCTTCCCAATGCTCTGCGAAAGATGGCCATTTGGAACTCCACGAATCTGCTCTCTTCGCACTCTCTTTCTTTCCGCTTGCACTTTTTCTTTCTTTCTGCTTGCTCTTTGCTTTCTTTTTCTTCGAGCCCTTCTCCGCTTCGCACTTTGGTTTGTTCTCCACTTCAGCTTCTTCTTGCTTTTCACTGGACGAACCTAAGTAGTCAAACGATGCTTGGACCCTATCGGCTTAAAGTGGCACCCATTTTTCCGCAGTTTACAAAACTTGGCGCGAGCGATGGAGGAACATATGAGAGAGAGAGAGAGTTGCAAATAGTCTAAGCCACACCTCAAATCAAGGACTTTGCAAAAAGGGCACCTGTATGGTGCCCACAGTTAGCATGTTGCTGCGATGCGGTCTTAGGATGTGTTATGAGAACACAAACCACTTTTTCCCTTAAACCACCAAGCCTGTTTCGACCATTTGAGGTCGAAAGCTTGGCGAGCTCATTCGACTTTGCACTTGTCTGCCTGGTTCGGACTCGGGCTTTGGTATCTTTGGTTGTGGCTGTGATGGCTGCGAAAACGATGCTTTGTCAGACTTTGTCACTCATCAAATGCTTCTGAAGATGCAATCAAATTGCACGCTGCAAAACATGGGAGTGAATGCTCCAAACCTGAAGAACTTAAACACTGAATTGTGATGAATCAGGGCGATTCGCATTCGCAGAACAAAAACAAGTAAATCAAACTCCCGATCAGTTATCATCCTGGATATGTTTGCGCGCATGTTTTTGTTCACACCTTTCACATATCTTGTTTGTTTTGATTCTTCAAATGCAATGCTTCAGTGCAGTGCTTCATCAACCTAGCTCGGGACTCTGTATTCGTGGGCTGGCCATGACTTGCTCACTTGATGTGCTAGCTGCAAATGTCTCGGCATCATCAAGCACTTCGGCACGTGACTCAGTCTTGAGAACATGTGGAATGCTCACCAAATCAGCTAATGTGCAGGACGCGTCATCCTTCTCCAACTGTTTCATGGCAGCCCTTTCCAAAGCCATGTCCATCTTCCCATTGGAGTTGGTTACAGCACGGCCCCAGTTCCAAACTGAAGCACTTTCACAGTGCGCTGATTCACTCAAAGCGGCCAAGAGTCCAGCAGTGGAGGAATCGTAGGTTTTCAATAATTCATTTGGAACTGTAAAAAGAACATCGACTTCACAGGCCACTTTCTTCGGCCAATATTTTGCGGCTACTCTTTGCAGGACATAGAGCCTTTGGTTGCAGTTCGTATACCAGTGCATTTCGTCACCAGGCAGTGAAATACCACATGAACCATTGACTCTCAGCTTTCGTGGTCCCCATCGCACGACTTCAATGTTTGAAAACGGAGGCTGTAGAATCACATCATAAGGATGAAACGGCTCGGCGCTTGACTTGTCGCCAACTTCCTTGACTTTGACCAACTCGATCACCTCCTCCAAACTTTGTCCGTTTCGAAAGGTTGTTCGAACTCGGTCCTGTGAAAATCTGACTGCCAAAGGAGAAATCAATTTCTCTTCATACACCGGCATGCCGTCGGCGCAGCCGTTGGCTCGGCGCAGCCGTCGGCGCAGCGGCGCAAAACGGGCTAAGCGACCAAGACTGTGCTGGCTCTTGCGAAGTCTATGAGTCCATGCATCCAATTCAACATAATTTGCCGTTAAAACATGGCACTGACGCAAACCCCATGCTGTTGCACTGTTGCGTGGGCAGGGATTTGGAGAATGACAATCAAAAACCATGAGAAAACTGCGAGCTGAAAGGCTGAGGATATACAAGCAGTTGAATTTTGATGAACATTTTTTTTGCACATTTTTTCACTCCTTTAGTGGAGTCAAACAAATCGAACCTAAACAGGAGTCTTGTGGTTTGCTGCAGTCAATCTAAAGAGATCTGTTGAAAATCGATATGACTCTGAGTCGACTCCTGATTCCCGAAGACACAGGTGGCACTTGGCTGCTTCGTGTCGGTTGTTTTGTTCTTTCGTGTTTGGGTTTTGACACGAACGTCTTTCAGTTCTCTTCTCTTTTGTCTTTTGCGGAAGAGCCGCTGTGTCGCTAATCGTCATCATCCAGCGCCTGCGTTCGAACTTGGTTTTCTTGAAACAACATTTTTTACTAACAAACTCTTTGCCTCGGCCGGCCTCGCCTCCAACCAAGCTTTCTTCTCTTTGTTGAGGCGCTCCCACCGTTGCTGGGCCATTCGGTCACGTGCCTCTTTGACATGAAACATGGTATGGCAACATGTGAGGCACATGTCTGCACATTTAAAAACTGCACTACAAGTTGTAGAGGCTACAGGTTTACAAGTCTCATGGCACGAAGGCACTGGATCAAAAGAAAGATCTGCCGCTAGGTTCCTGCCTTTTCGTGCCGGGTCAGTTCAAAACATGTGCAGTAAGGCCGTGGTTCATGTTCAATTGCACATGCTGGCAGACAGGTAACGTGTCTTGTCATCCGTTCAAAACCTTTTGTTGGCTTCGCCGGACTTCGAAGGTGGTCACTGGAGTCACTAGCCTCTTGGCGCTTTGTCCACGTTCGCCACGATCTCCCTTGTGGCCTTGTCCCTGACGATCTTTTCATCACACCATTGGAATCTCTCTTCCTCCACAGGGCAATAGCCCAAGACCCGTCTCAAGCAAAGCAGGGAAGCGAACGCCTCATCATCAGCAGCAAACCATCACTCCTCTCCTCAGATGGCTCCACATGTGCCAGATCGCGCGGGCTCTTCCATGTGTTCCTTGATCTCATTGAAGCCCAGCTTGAAGAACATCACGTAGCCGACAAAGATTAAGAAGACCTTGCTTCAAGCCATTCTTCACATGGTCAAATCTCTTGGAGACCGCCTTGCAAAGCTCTGCGCGACAGACGGTCGCCGTAGTCCGTCTGAGAGGTGGTTTCCAGGTCGGGGTCAACTTGTCGGTCGCCTCCTCCCCCAGGCTTTCTTCCATCTGCAGATGAGAGAACGACGCTTAAACCGTAAACCTAACAAGTTGGATCTCCAACTTTCCTCTTATGGTAGACCAACATTGACTGCTGAAGCTCTGAGGCACCTGCCTACTGCTTAGCGCTGCTTACTAAGGCGCTGCAAAACACCTTCTTCTTCAGCTTCACGTGTCAGGCGGGCGCGTTTGATGAACCTGGCTGCTTCATGTTCGCTGTCAGCCTCACAGAATTGCTCTGCTGCTCCCTTTCGGCCAGCAAGGTCCGGTAGTGAAGGGCAAAGGTCGCAGAAGCGGTCACGAAGCCCTCCTGATCTTGTCAAAGTTTTGCCCACCATGGACCACATAGCCGGGGTCCTGCAGCGCAAGCATCTCGGCATCTGGACTGTCCGGGTCCTCTGCTCTCTCTCACTCTCTCTCCCTCTCTCTCTCTCTCTCTCTTCTGGGGTGTAGGCCCAACCTTCAGGCCGGAACTCAATGCTTGAAGTTTTGCTGACTCTTCCTGTTTTCATCGTGAGGCAGGCTGCCAAGTTGAAACCTTTAGTCTTTGACAATTTGTCTTAGACAGCCGCTAAACAACAGTGCAATGAAAGTCCCGCAGGCAGTCTCCATGGCCGTCCCAAACGAGGATCGAAGCATCGATATGCACCCGTTTCTGCCAAGCCAAGCCAACTTGCATCGAGGATCGCGGGCGTCTGTGTCAGCAGATCCTCGATGATGAGGAAAGCCAAAGAGCTTTGCAAAGAGCGAAGCCCACAAAGCAAGGCATGCAACGGCCACCAAAGGACTTGACCAGCTCCGCATGACCACTCTAGAATCGGCCGCTAGGCTACTGTTTCTTGTTCCGAATCACCTCAAGGCCTGTGAGGGCCACGCTTCATGTTCAACTGCACATGCTGGCGCAACCCCCAAAATCGATGACAGGGGACGCATTCGTCACTATGGTAGCAGTCATCGCGGTGGTGGTGGTAGTAGTAGTAGTAGTGGTAGTAGGGGGAGTGGTAGTGGTAGTGGTAGTAGTCCTAGTCGTAGTCATAGCCGTCGTGGTCGTGGTCGTCGTCGTGATGGTAGTGGCAATGGTAGTAGTCATGTATAGTAGTGCCCGCTTGCTCCGATTCTGTAGTGGTGCTACAGAAGTTGTGACCCTATTGGCGTGCTAAAGGAGGCTACTTTGCGACTGTATCAGAAGTAAGCGGCCACCTTACAAAAGGGCTCAACATAACTCAACTACATGTAATGCATTGACCACAGTCCCAGTCTGAGGGTGCGTTGAGTAGTTACTCTCAGGAAATCTCGAGATAGAGGCGTCTGCCTCTTGCAACTCTTGCTCTTCTTCAGAGTCTAAGACCTCCAATTCAAGCGAAGCACAAGTCTAATACCTCCAAAGTAAGAACAGGACAAAGGACAAATGAGGGACCTCAGCGCTAGCACGCTCTGCCCAAGCCTCAAAGCCGAGACAAATATGCAAAGCGACAAAGCTTTGTGATTTGAAAGATCTGACTCAATGTTAATTAAACTTTTTTGTCTGCTTTTTATCTGCTTTCCTTGCCTTCTCTTGAGTAGCATAATTGTTGTAGTGGCGCTCATACTCCTGCAGGCCGCACGAAATATGACAGTCGCTTGTCTGTTCTGTCCTTTTCTTTCTTGCAACTGCGTAAGATCACTCACTCTATGTCTTTATCATGGATCTTCTCTCATGTTGTCGATTCGTTTCCAAGCTCTCAGCTTTACGTGCATCAGGAACAGGGGACGGAGATCTGGCTGCCTTTGTCCGTGCCTTATATACGCAAGCGTTCATCGCAGTTCTTCACATATTTGTCCATCCGTCTTCTTCCGTCCCTTATGTTTTTCATCCCTCATTACTAGGAGCAAGAAGCTACTAGAGGCTCCTGGCATCGCTACTAGGAGCAAGGACGCTACTAGCCCCTGGCCTTACTGCTAACAAGGACGCTACTAGTCACAAGAAGCTACTACGAACAAGTGCATCGCTTCTAGTAACAAGTGCCTTACTAGTAGTAACAAGAAGCTATTAGAAACAAGGGCATCGCTACTAATTTTTTCCTCCTTTGCGTCTCTCGGTCCCAAGAGGTACACTAAGACGTCGACACCCGGTCGACTCCCACGCGGGGAATATGCAAGCGGGACCTGTTCCTGACAAAAGGTATGTTTCTTTTTGTCACGCAAAGCACACCCTCCCATTCTTGGCGACTTGCAAGGAAAAGCAAAGTGAGGTTGATGAATGTTGACATTTGAAAACAAGAAAAACACATGTCAGAAGCAAATCAAACAAACAAAACAAACAAACATCCGTCCTTGCGCCGAGGTCTGGGAGGTATGACATCTTTGGGCTCTGGAGGTACTTCAATCCGGGGAGAACCTCAAGCAAAGTGTGATTCGCATGTCTTTCCGAGCATCGAACCTAAGAAAACAACAAAAACCTCATTCTGCTCACACCATCCTTGCAAATCCAAGCGTCTCTCAATCTCTGCCTATCCAGTGCTGCTTGAGGTCACCAAAAACAGCAAGAAAACCAACTGAAGTTGATTTCACAGGACACACACAGGAGACCCAGTTTGCAAGGCATACTTAGGAGGCCAAGTCTGCCTCTTCAGCAGTTCCGAGGTTCTTCTTATTTTCGAGGTAGTCCTCGAAGCTTTTGTCGATGTTGCGGTACATCTTCTTGGTCAATCCCTAAGGACAGAAGAAAATGGATCACTCTAACAAGAACGCTACTGGGAGCAAAGGGCATCCCTACTAGGAGCAAGGACGCTACTAGTAGCTCCTGGCCATACTGCTAGTAACAAGAAGCTACTACTAAAGGGCGTCGCTACTAGGAGCAAGCACGCTACTAGTAGCTCCTGGCCTTACTGCCAGTAACAAGCAGCTCCTAGTAAAGGGAGTCGCTACTAGGAACAAGGACGCTACTAGTAGCTCCTGGCCTTACTGCTAGTAATAAGAAGCTACCGGTAAAGGGCGTCGCTACTAGGAGCAAGGGCGCTACTAGTAGCTCCTAGCCTTACTGCTAGTAACAAGAAGCTACAAGTAAAGGGCATCGCTACTAGGACCAAGGACGCTACTAGTAGCTCCTGGCCCTACTGCTAGTAACAAGAAGCTACTAGCAAAGGGTGTCGCTACTAGGAGCAAGGATGCTACTAGTAGCTCCTGGCCATACTGCTAGTAACAAGAAGCTACTAGTAA